ATATTATATAATATACAGAAAATATGTGATTAACAGACTATATAAAAATGCATTGTAAAAATACGGAATTGTCACACTACACATACAACTAAGTATTGTACAAGCAGACTATAGGACTAAAATTCTGTTTTAAAAAAGCATTGTACGATATCACGTATATCATACAATGCAACATTGTTGGATGAATATGGGATTACCATACTGCATAATGGACTTGTGTTAGCACAATTAATATCTTAAGAAATAATGCAGTACTGTAAGAATAGTGGAACATTACACACAATATATCATTGTAAGCAGAAATTGGGAATATCAGACTACACAATATATCAATGTAACAGAAACAGCAATATCCTACTGCATAATCAATCACTGTAAGAAGACACAACGGAACAGGGGACCACACAATGCATCACTCAAAGCATCTTATAGTATCAAACCGTCTTATAATAGTATTGTATGGATAAAACGGCACTGGCGTCACTGCAAGGTATGATTTCAGAGAGCAAGCAGGATCTTTCCCGTAGAAGTCGTAACATGTAAGAAATATGCTGTGCCTCATTCACTGTAGTAATATGTAAGAAATATGCTGTGCCTCATTCACTGTAGAAGTAAATGTAAGAAATATGCTGTGCCTCATTCACTGTAGAAGTAAATGTAAGAAATACGCTATGCCTCATTCACTGCAGAAGTAACATGTAAGAAATATGCTGTGCCTCATTAACTGTAGTAATATGTAAGAAATATGCTGTGCCTCATTCACTGTAGAAGTAAATGTAAGAAATACGCTATGCCCCATTCACTGTAGAAGTAACATGTAAGAAAAATGCTGTGCCTCATTCACTGTAGTAATATGTAAGAAATATGCTGTGCGTCTCTCTCAATATGCTGCATGTTACCTTAGTACCGTGGAACACATAAAGAAAACTGTAACTATTTATTAACTTGTAAATAAATTTTAATTCAAAGTTAATTCATACAGAGTGAGTGACAAATATAGTATCATATTGCGGTGAATCAGAAAAAAATCACAATGTGAAAAATTAAATCTTGTAAACATCTTGTTAGCATAATCACAGCACAGCAGGTTTAATCTGGAATCCAAACCTCACTAACAATGCTTCCTGTGTAAACAATGCTTCCTGTGTAAACAATGCTTCCTGTGTAAACAATGCTTCCTGTGTAAACAATGCTCCAATGTTGCCAGAGTCCTGGAGCCACAGTTATAAACATTCTCAGAGTTTTCTTGAGAATACTCTTAAGTTGCTAAGAAAATTCTAAGCTAAGAGTTACACTTAGGAGTGTAGTAGAATAGCTCTGACAGTAAATAGTTAAAACGTCTTTCCGTGCTTGAAAATGTCTGAGGTGAGAGACTGCGTTGTCATTTTGTAGAGTTAACAAATTCTTAAGTAGACTTAGTAGAGTCCTCTGTGCGGACTCCTAACTCTTGCTCACTCTAAGAGTCATTTTAAGTCTAAAGAGGCTTTATAACTAGGTCTTTAATTTCAATTACAATAGCTGTATATCAGCCTCCAGGGACAACTGAAATCATATATGCATGTATGATAGATGGTGAAATTATGGCATGAAGTTTGAAGGCCACATACTGATGTACATAAGGTAATTTATAGCATGTGTGTCTGTCAACTGCTTACTTCAGACATACACAGACCAAGGAATTGCAATGCTAATTATGTAATGATTGAAGCCTCTACTCTAGTGGCAGTATACTCTGACAGTTGTTGATACTATTCTGCAAGCTGTTGAACATTCATAGTCACATATACACACATGCTCAAACATCCACTTACCTAGTCTTTGAATAGCACTCAGATGTGATACACACAAGATAGAGAATCTATGAATGTCAACTTCTTCATTATGTGGACACGTTTCGCAGTATATACTTACCCCTTCATGAGTAAGCATATACTCTGAAACTTTGTGTTTCTCATAATAATGAAGGTAGGATAAACTCCAAAATATTGTGTTTCTCATAATAATGAAGTTAGCATATTCTCCGAAACATTGTTTCTCATAATAATGAAGTTAGCATATTCTCCAAAACATTGTGTTTCTCATAATAATGAAGGTAGGATAAACTCCAAAATATTGTGTTTCTCATAATAATGAAGTTAGCATATTCTCCAAAACTTTGTGTTTCTCACAATAATGAAGTTAGCATATTCTCCGAAACATTGTTTCTCATAATAATGAAGGTAGGATAAACTCCGAAATATTGTGTTTCTCATAATAATGAAGGTAGGATAAACTCCGAAACATTGTGTTTCTCACAATAATGAAGGTAGGATAAACTCCGAAATATTGTGTTTCTCATAATAATGAAGGTAGGATATACTCCAAAACATTGTTTTTTCTCATAATAATGAAGGTAGGATAAACTCCGAAACATTGTGTTTCTCATAATAATGAAGTTAGCATATACTCCGAAACATTGTGTTTCTCATAATAATGAAGTTAGCATATACTCCGAAACATTGTGTTTCTCATAATAATGAAGGTAGGATAAACTCCGAAATATTGTGTTTTTCATAATAATGAAGTTAGCATATACTCCAAAACATTGTTTCTCATAATAAATGAAATTAGCATATACTCCAAAACTTTGTGTTTCTCATAAAAAGGAGTTGACATTCTAAAATATTCTCTCCCTTATCCTCTAACCTGTTGGTGTCAATCTACAAATAAAAACAACACGCATTCTATAAACAATTAGAGACATGCCATAATTGTTTTATTCACACAACACATAGTTTTGGTCATTAATACTGGCTGTACAGTGTGTGCCTTAACCATACACCTGGGGTATCACTGGCTGTACAGTATTGCCCTAACCATACACCTGGGGTATCACTGGCTGTACAGTGTGTGCCCTAACCAAACACCTGGGGTATCACTGGCTGTACAGAGTGTGCCCTAACCATACACCTGGGTTATCACTGGCTGTACAGTGTGTGCCCTAACCATACACCTGGGGTATCACAGGCTGTACAGTGTGTGCCCTAACCATACACCTGGGGTATCACTGGCTGTACAGTGTGTGCCTTAACCATACACCTGGGGTATCATTGGCTGTACAGTGTGTGCCCTTACCATACACGTGGGGTATCACTGGCTGTACAGTGTGTGCCCTTACCATACACCTGGGGTATCACTGGCTGTACAGTGTGTGCCCTAACCATACACCTGGGGTATCATTGGCTGTACAGTGTGTGCCCTAACCATACACCTGGGGTATCACTGGCTGTACAGTGTGTGCCTTAACCATACACCTGGGGTATCATTGGCTGTACAGTGTGTGCCCTTACCATACACCTGGGGTATCATTGGCTGTACAGTGTGTGCCCTTACCATACACCTGGGGTATCACAGGCTGTACAGTGTGTGCCTTAACCATACACCTGGGGTATCACTGGCTGTACAGTGTGTGCCCTAACCGTGCACCTGGGGTATCACTGGCTGTACAGTGTGTGCCTTAACCATACACCTGGGGTATCACTGGCTGTACAGTGTGCCTTAACCATACACCTGGGGTATCACTGGCTGTACAGTGTGTGCCCTAACCGTGCACCTGGGGTATCACTGGCTGTACAGTGTGTGCCTTAACCATACACCCTCGGGTATCACTGGCTGTACAGTGTGCCTTAACCATACACCTGGGGTATCACTGGCTGTACAGTGTGTGCCCTAACCGTGCACCTGGGGTATCACTGGCTGTACAGTGTGTGCCTTAACCATACACCCTCGGGTATCACTGGCTGTACAGTGTGTTCCCTAACCATACACCTGGGGTATCACTGGCTGTACAGTGTGTGCCCTAACCATACACGTGGGGTATCACAGGCTGTACAGTGTGTGCCCTAACCGTGCACCTGGGGTATCACTGGCTGTACAGTATTGCCCTAACCATACACCTGGGGTATCACTGGCTGTACAGTGTGTGCCCTTACCATACACCTGGGGTATCACTGGCTGTACAGTGTGTGCCCTAACCATACACCTGGGGTATCACTGGCTGTACAGTGTGTGCCCTAACCATACACCTGGGGTATCACTGGCTGTACAGTGTGTGCCTTAACCATACACCTGGGGTATCACAGGCTGTACAGTGTGTGCTCTAACCATACACCTGGGGTATCACTGGCTGTACAGTGTGTGCCCTAACCATACACCTGGGGTATCACTGGTTGTACAGTGTGTGCCCTAACCATACACCTGGGGTATCATTGGCTGTACAGTGTGTGCCCTTACCATACACCTGGGTTATCACTGGCTGTACAGTGTGTGCCCTAACCATACACCTGGGGTATCACTGGCTGTACAGTGTGTGCCCTTACCATACACCTGGGGTATCACTGGCTGTACAGTGTGTGCCCTAACCATACACCTGGGGTATCACTGGCTGTACAGTGTGTGCCCTAACCATACGCCTGGGGTATCATTGGCTGTACAGTGTGTGCCCTTACCATACACCTGGGGTATCACTGGCTGTACAGTGTGTGCCCTTACCATACACCTGGGGTATCACTGGCTGTACAGTGTGTGCCCTAACCATACACCTGGGGTATCATTGGCTGTACAGTGTGTGCCCTAACCATACACCTGGGGTATCACTGGCTGTACAGTGTGCCCTAACCATACACCCTCGGGTATCACTGGCTGTACAGTGTGTGCCCTAACCATACACCTGGGGTATCACTGGCTGTACAGTGTGTGCCCTTACCATACACCTGGGGTATCACTGGCTGTACAGTGTGTGTCCTAACCATACACCTGGGGTATCACTGGCTGTACAGTGTGTGCCTTAACCATACACCCTCGGGTATCACTGGCTGTACAGTGTGTTCCCTAACCATACACCTGGGGTATCACTGGCTGTACAGTGTGTGCCCTAACCATACACGTGGGGTATCACAGGCTGTACAATGTGTGCTCTAACCGTGCACCTGGGGTATCACTGGCTGTACAGTATTGCCCTAACCATACACCTGGGGTATCACTGGCTGTACAGTGTGTGCCCTTACCATACACCTGGGGTATCACTGGCTGTACAGCGTGTGCCCTAACCATACACCTGGGGTATCACTGGCTGTACAGTGTGTGCCCTAACCATACACCTGGGGTATCACTGGCTCTACAGTGTGTGCCTTAACCATACACCTGGGGTATCACAGGCTGTACAGTGTGTGCCCTAACCATACACCTGGGGTATCACTGGCTGTACAGTGTGTGCCCTAACCATACACCTGGGGTATCACTGGTTGTACAGTGTGTGCCCTAACCATACACCTGGGGTATCATTGGCTGTACAGTGTGTGCCCTTACCATACACCTGGGTTATCACTGGCTGTACAGTGTGTGCCCTAACCATACACCTGGGGTATCACTGGCTGTACAGTGTGTGCCCTTACCATACACCTGGGGTATCACTGGCTGTACAGTGTGTGCCCTAACCATACACCTGGGGTATCACTGGCTGTACAGTGTGTGCCCTAACCATACACCTGGGGTATCATTGGCTGTACAGTGTGTGCCCTTACCATACACCTGGGGTATCACTGGCTGTACAGTGTGTGCCCTTACCATACACCTGGGGTATCACTGGCTGTACAGTGTGTGCCCTAACCATACACCTGGGGTATCATTGGCTGTACAGTGTGTGCCCTAACCATACACCTGGGGTATCACTGGCTGTACAGTGTGCCCTAACCATACACCCTTGGGTATCACTGGCTGTACAGTGTGTGCCCTAACCATACACCTGGGGTATCACTGGCTGTACAGTGTGTGCCCTTACCATACACCTGGGGTATCACTGGCTGTACAGTGTGTGTCCTAACCATACACCTGGGGTATCACTGGCTCTACAGTGTGTGCCCTAACCATACACCTGGGGTATCACTGGCTGTACAGTGTGTGCCCTTACCATACACCTGGGGTATCACTGGCTGTACAGTGTGTGCCCTAACCATACACCTGGGGTATCACAGGCTGTACAGTGTGTGCCCTAACCAAACACCTGGGGTATCACAGGCTGTACAGTGTGCCCTTACCATACACCTGGGGTATCACTGGTTGTACAGTGTGTGCCCTAACCATACACCTGGGGTATCACTGGCTGTACAGTGTGTGCCCTAACCATACACCTGGGGTATCACTGGCTGTACAGTGTGTGCCCTAACCATACACCTGGGGTATCACTGGCTCTACAGTGTGTGCCCTAACCATACACCTGGGGTATCACTGGCTCTACAGTGTGTGCCCTAACCATACACCTGGGGTATCACTGGCTGTACAGTGTGTGCCCTAACCATACACTTGGGATATCACAGGTTGTACACTGTGTGCCTTAACCATACACGTGGGGTATCACAGGCTGTACAGTGTGTGCCTTAACCATACACCTGGGGTATCACTGGCTGTACAGTGTGTGCCCTTACCATACACCTGGGGTATCACTGGCTGTACTGTGTGTGCCCTTACCATACACCTGGGGTATCACTGGCTCTACAGTGTGTGCCCTAACCATACACCTGGGGTATCATTGGCTGTACAGTGTGTGCCCTAACCATACACCTGGGGTATCACTGGCTGTACAGTGTGCCCTAACCATACACCCTCGGGTATCACTGGCTGTACAGTGTGTGCCCTAACCATACACCTGGGGTATCACTGGCTGTACAGTGTGTGCCCTAACCATACACTTGGGATATCACAGGTTGTACACTGTGTGCCTTAACCATACACGTGGGGTATCACAGGCTGTACAGTGTGTGCCTTAACCATACACCTGGGGTATCACTGGCTGTACAGTGTGTGCCCTTACCATACACCTGGGGTATCACTGGCTGTACAGTGTGTGCCCTTACCATACACCTGGGGTATCACTGGCTGTACAGTGTGTGCCCTTACCATACACCTGGGGTATCACTGGCTGTACAGTGTGTGCCCTTACCATACACCTGGGGTATCACTGGCTGTACAGTGTGTGCCCTAACCATACACCTGGGGTATCACTGGCTGTACAGTGTGTGCCTTAACCATACACCTGGGGTATCACTGGCTGTACAGTGTGTGCCCTAACCATACACCTGGGGTATCATTGGCTGTACAGTGTGTGCCCTAACCATACACCTGGGGTATCACTGGCTGTACAGTGTGCCCTAACCATACACCTGGGGTATCACTGGCTGTACAGTGTGTGCCCTAACCATACACCTGGGGTATCACAGGCTGTACAGTGTGTGCCCTAACCATACACCTGGGGTATCATTGGCTGTACAGTGTGTGCCCTAACCATACACCTGGGGTATCACTGGCTGTACAGTGTGTGCCCTAACCATACACCTGGGGTATCACTGGCTGTACAGTGTGTGCCCTTACCATACACCTGGGGTATCATTGGCTGTACAGTGTGTGCCCTAACCATACACCTGGGGTATCACTGGCTGTACAGTGTGTGCCTTAACCATACACCTGGGGTATCACTGGCTGTACAGTGTGTGCCCTAACCATACACCTGGGGTATCACTGGCTGTACAGTGTGCCCTAACCATACACCTGGGGTATCACTGGCTGTACAGTGTGTGCCCTAACCATACACCTGGGGTATCATTGGCTGTACAGTGTGTGCCCTAACCATACACCTGGGGTATCACTGGCTCTACAGTGTGTGCCTTAACCATACACCTGGGGTATCACTGGCTGTACAGTGTGTGCCCTAACCATACACCTGGGGTATCACTGGCTCTACAGTGTGTGCCTTAACCATACACCTGGGGTATCACTGGCTCTACAGTGTGTGCCCTAACCATACACCTGGGGTATCACTGGCTCTACAGTGTGTGCCTTAACCATACACCTGGGGTATCACTGGCTCTACAGTGTGTGCCTTAACCATACACCTGGGGTATCACAGGCTGTACAGTGTGTGCCCTAACCATACACCTGGGGTATCACTGGCTCTACAGTGTGTGCCCTAACCATACACCTGGGGTATCACAGGCTCTACAGTGTGTGCCCTAACCATACACCTGGGGTATCACTGGCTCTACAGTGTGTGCCCTAACCATACACCTGGGGTATCACAGGCTGTACAGTGTGTGCCCTAACCATACACCTGGGGTATCACAGGCTGTACAGTGTGTGCCCTAACCAAACACCTGGGGTATCACAGTGTCACTGGAATAATGATGTCTTAACAGAAACTATAGGCAAAGTTTCTGACAGAAAATGAATTCTGTTAACCATCCAATGGCTACACACATCAATGCTTAAATCTCCATAGCTAAGGATGACATACATCGGTGTAAAATGAAAAGATAATCCTAAATACATCCACTATATAAGTAAAACGTTTCATATACAACAAGAATATTGTGTCCATATTGTACAGACATGACCATTTCATATGTACATATCATCAGCTGTGTCATGGAGAATGCCAGCGTATCAAATATATTAAATATATTTTGGTGACATGGATTTTTGAGCTGCATACTAAAATGAACTATCTCCTCCCAAATGTATAAAAAGTGATCTACTAATTACATTGCTATTCAACTGTAACAACTTATATGAAATCATGAACAGTCTATATTAACATCAATAAATTACGTATAGCTGTCAATTTCATGCTAATATGTACAGGTATGCATGATAAAAGCAGTTAACATCTTGATAAAATGGAAAGTAACAAAACTGGATTTGATTCATTTTGGGTATAAAATCAGAAAGATAAAATGCTGCTGCAATTAAAGGGAACCAATAAATATAAATGCTGAGTTCTAAGCTTTCATGTGAAATGTATATAAAATAATATTTACAATTCTCAGAATTAATACAATGCAAACCTCTCAAGCAATGGAGGGATACAAGTGTAGCTTTAGGAATAGTTCTGCCACTTATATCCTCGCCACTTGAAATAGAATAATGCCATGTAGCAATTATTAATGAAGGTTGGCAATCAGGTGACTGCATGGAGTTACAACTAGCAGTGTGTGCATCTTGAACTATGTCAGTGCTTTAAATCTGCTATTTTTTGCTAAAGGTAGCCGCTTGCAGTCTGTCTGTCTGTTTGTTTGCTTGTTGTTTAACCCCACACTCAGCAATATTCCAGCTATATGACGGCGGTCTGTAAATAATCGAGTGTGGACAAGACAATCCAGTCATTGACATCATGAGCATCGATCCATGCAACTGGGATCGATGACATGCATCAACCAAGTCAGCGAGCCTGACCACCTGATCCTGTTAGTTGCCTTTTACAGCAAGCATTGGTTGCTGAAGACCTATCCTACCCCGGATCTTTACGCTTGCAGTCATCGTCAGCAAAATGGATATTTCTTGAAAAGTGCACTTTGCAATTTTTGCTATCACTTGAATATAAACTGTCAATGCAAGCCTAGTTTTTCTGCTGAAACAGATTCCACTTGGTGTAAAGGGCAAATAGCTGTGGAAAGTATGTGAACGGGCCACTGAAAAACAGTGATGACACCAGGTGTTTAAGAAAAGGGTAAGCATGTCCTTCTCCACCGGTATCACCACCATTCACAGAATTTGCATAAAAAAGTAAGTATTTATTGCCTGATGCCACACAGCAGTACTCCTGCCATGGGACGTCAGCCTGTAAACAAACCCCCAAACCAGACAATCAAGTGATCAATGAACCAGAAAATCAGGTGACACGAGACTACCATTACTGATTTTGTTGAAACTAATAAAAACTGTATGTTAGTTTTTAATTACGTCAGCTGTGAACAAGTGCAGAGATTTTGCTGCTAATAAGCAAAGAAAAACAATGTGTGGCACAGTTTTCAAGTCTCGTCCCAAACATTTCTTTTGTAGTTGACTCAGCATAGATACATGCTCCTGATGATGAAACTCCGGGACTTCAGTCCACCAGCAGAAACATCGACCCAGTTCAAGTTAATATAACCTGCAATCTTCCTTATCAGAGGAATGGCTTGTTTTCACTTTGTAAGTACAAGCACTTATGCAGTTTTCTTTGTAAATTAAAAATTGCGATATTGTTCATGATTCTATTTCAAATGGTGAGGACTATAAAATCCTGAATCCCGGCATGGCAATGTCAGCAGTATTCCAGGCCTGGTATGAGATGTACATGTGGAGCCTGCTTGTACAGCAGTCATCACTTGGACTCCAGGTACTTGTGACAGTCCCGGGAGTTGGTGCCCCGCCTCTTCTGTGTCTGTGGGTTGCCCTTCTCGGGGTGCTTCAAGGCATGGAATCTCCATGCTTGGGCAAAACTGTCAACCTGCAACATCAACGCCAACACATTCAATTTCCGCGGACTTATTTTGAGGTAATTCGGCTACTCCTAAGCTTCCAGATCTCCCTGCTTTTGTTGTATTATAGCCTACTCAACTGTCAGAAGTCATAAAGTTCTTGGAATACTTCTGTTTCACTCAAGTTGTCATAAGGTTCAAAATGTGTAAAGTCAAAGGAATTTTCGAATCCAATTCACATGAGAACGACCCGTGAAGACCTGGGGTAGAATAGGTATTCAACAAACCATGCTTGCCGTTAAGAGGCAACTGGTTGTCATAGGAGTCAACTAACGGGATCGGGTGGTCAGGCTCGCTGACTTGGTTGATGCATGTCATCATATCCCATTTGTGTAGATCGATGCTCATGATGTTAATCACTGGATGGTCTGGTCCAGACTTGATTATTTACAGACCAAGGTCATATAGCTGGAATATTGCTGAGTGCGGCGTTAAACAACAAACAAAACAAACATTTGAGCAGATGAGCCTGTATAACCATGACATACCACCTGCTGAGTATGGGCCTCAAACGAGGCTGCTGTAAAACTACATGTATATGTAATGGGAAGTAGCTTGTACCACCTCTTTATAAAATAGTGGAAGGTTTAACTAAGGCAGCAGTCTTGCAATTGTCAGTATTATTCACTGGGGTCTATGTTGAGTTCCTCATTGATTTGGGCAGGTGCTACTGAGGAGGCCGAGATTTTACGACTCTTCTGTCACATGTCAACACCATCCTCATCAACAACTTCTGTTAGAAGGGACACAACTCATGATTGTGCCACACTCTGAAGTTAGACTGTTGATACAGCTGATAGTTGTCTTGGTTTGTTTCCTGAGTTAAAGTTGGCACCATGGATTCACGTCCCATATAAGGTATGTCTTCGAGTGGAGTGAGTGAGTGAGTTGGGTTGAGGCCGCTTTGACCAGTATTTTAGTCCTATCTTAGTCCTATCACACTGTGTCACCTTCATGTGTCAGAACACCCAAAGTGATTAGACGTTTGCCACTTTGATGAAACCCCTGAGCACAGATATGATGCTGACAAACCTAGAAACAAAATCTGAGCGAACCTGGCTCTGAACCCACCTTCATAGGAGTCTTGCATTCCTAATTATGTAAGGGACGCAAGTCTGCTTTAGTCTGCTTTAGTCTGCTTTAGTCAACTGGGCCACCCGTGCCACCAAGTATGTCTCGGGAGTTTATGCGACATCATGATATCATTGAACTAAATATTATGAAAGAATATTTTCATCTATGTTTAGTGGGAATAGTGCATTATTAATAAAAATGAATAAACAAAGGGATGAACTATGACATCAAAATTAGGTTATCTCAGAGAATCATAGATCTTTAAAGTACAATGGGTGTTATAAAACACCACACAATTACAACCATAGTATAAAGGGTCATGTTTGGTTGTTTTAACGCTGCAATCAAAAATAATCCAAGAATAAGATGGCAGCCTTTAAATAATGACAACCAGATAATCCAATCAACATTACTGTGAGAAACAAGCCACGCCATTGGGTTACGATAACACGTCATCACCCTCACCCAACTGATGCCCGTTGGATGAGAGCCTGTAGCTATACTCTAGTGCCAAGCTGGGTGTTTAGATTATGCTGTGTGTGTCCTACTCACCGGGATGAATCCATCCTTCTTGTTCTCTGTCTCCACGGTAGAGAGTTCCTCAGGAGACAGTAGAGGTAGTCGGATGTATTTCACAGCGGCACCGCCGATATCAGCTACTGTTTTCCCCATTACAACCTGAGACAGACACACAGAAATGTGTTGATGATGAAGGAATGTATGGATTGATGGTTAAAACAAGATCGTTGTAATCTCTCAACTATATTTTAGAAAGCACATCAGAGAAAGATATTTCGAAATTTTAAGAATTGCATTATAGAAGTGGATTCATTATTGAATTTTATAGTTTTAATAATATATATTATATATTCTGAGATTTGTTTATAACAAAGTAGCTTCAGAAAAGCAACAGAGTACCAGTAGATTTGCTTAAGATTTTCAGATTTCAGATTTTTGGTTTGTAGACACCTGGTAGATATTTCACAGGTGGTTATCTGGGGATTGAACTGTGAATTTATTCCAATCATACATATCAGAAATATGATTATTTGTAAAGCTGTAAATGTTTTCTGACATGTGTCTTAAAAAAAGAAATACCATGTTCCAATGACAAAAGAAAACACTTCGGTTAGTGATATATTTTGATATTTTTCTATTTAACAGTTTCAAAGCTCAAATTAATCACTGGCAGAAAGAAACTTACCGAGTTGACCGTTGCCCATTCCTTGACCGCTCTGTACAGGTCCATCTCGTCCATCTGGAGCTGGTTGCTGCACAACACGGCCGACATCGCCTCCTCCCCCATCTCCTGGAACCCCTTCGACTTGAACACATTCTGAAACATACAGACATTTCCATAAACATCACAAGTTCGTGAAGAACAAGCATGAAATACTCAGATCCCCTGCCAATGTGAGCGGTTGTGAGCAAGGCAAGAAAAGTTGTATGGTTTACATGATCTGCTATGGAAACGAGCACTACCACCATTGTTAGTCTATCACAGTCGTTGCAATGGAAACTCGAAAAATATTTTTAACCCCCCCCCCCCCGCACAACTATCCAAAGGCACCAGTTCACCACTAGACCTATCTATGTACCAAGTTTGGCTAAGATATCTCTCAAGAATTTTTAGTTCTGCTCCAGAAACCAAACGTGATGGACAGACAGCACCCATTCCTATATCCCCTTTCCACTGAGTGTCAGGGGATAGTTTAACTCCAATCTCTAGTGTTTATTTCACACACGTTAGCTTGCAGTAGCTGACACTGCATGTGAACCAAGTTCAAACCAGAAACCATAGAGAAGATTTAACAATGAACAGGCCCCCGCCAACTCCTGCTGTGTTTTGTGATTCTGATACAGCCATGTTGGCCCAGTCTGGTGAAGGTCCACTGTAAGTGATGACTGAACGGCTGAGGAGAGTTTCACCAACACATGTACAGTTAGTTTTACTACCTCCAATTGCCACTTGTCAACAGTTACTCTCTTCAATTACATTTCAGATTACCCTAGGCTTATGGTCGTTTTCCAGAAAAATACCAAGAAAATTAAAACTGCCTTTGTCACACAATTAGATCCAAATCTGATCTTTATTTATATGTGGCCTTCACCATTAAGTCCCTGGACTGGGTACTCATGCACTCAGTAAATGATGAATGTGTTGCCAACACCGTGTGTATGAATGTGTTGCCAACACCGTGTGTATGAATGTGTTGCCAACACCGTGTGTATGAATGTGTTGCCAACACCGTGTGTATGACTGTGTTGCCAACACCGTGTGTATGACTGTGTTGCCAACACCGTGTGTATGAATGTGTTGCCAACACCGTGTGTATGACTGTGTTGCCAACACTGTGTGTATGACTGTGTTGCCAACACCGTGTGTATGACTGTGTTACCAACACTGTGTGTATGAATGTGTTACCAACACTGTGTGTATGAATGTGTTGCCAACACCGTGTGTATGAATGTGTTGCCAACACTGTGTGTATGAATGTGTTGCCAACACCGTGTGTATGAATGTGTTGCCAACACCGTGTGTATGAATGTGTTGCCAACACCACGTGTATGAATGTGTCGCCAACACCGCGTGTATGAATGTGTTGCCAACACCGCGTGTATGAATGTGTTGCCAACACCACGTGTATGAATGTGTTGCCAACACCGTGTGTATGAATGTGTTGCCAACACCGTGTGTATGAATGTGTTGCCAACACTGTGTGTATGAATGTGTTGCCAACACCGTGTGTATGAATGTGTTACCAACACCGCGTGTATGAATGTGTTGCCAACACCGCGTGTATGAATGTGTTGCCAACACCACGTGTATGAATGTGTTGCCAACACCGCGTGTATGAATGTGTTACCAACACCACGTGTATGAATGTGTTGCCAACACCGTGTGTATGAATGTGTTGCCAACACCACGTGTATAAATGTGTTACCAACACCGTGTGTATGAATGTGTTGCCAACACCACGTGTATGAATGTGTTGCCAACACCGTGTGTATGAATGTGTCGCCAACACCGCGTGTATGAATGTGTTGCCAACACCACGTGTATAAATGTGTTACCAACACCGTGTGTATGAACGTGTTGCCAACACCGCGTGTATGAATGTGTTGCCAACACCGTGTGTATGAATGTGTTGCCAACACCGTGTGTATGAATGTGTTGCCAACACCGTGTGTATGAATGTGTCACCAACACTGTGTGTATGAATGTGTTGCCAACACCGTGTGTATGAATGTGTCGCCAACACCGTGTGTATGAATGTGTCGCCAACACCGTGTGTATGAATGTGTTGCCAACACCGCGTGTATGAATGTGTTGCCAACACCGCGTGTATGAATGTGTTGCCAACACCGTGTGTATGAATGTGTTGCCAACACCGTGTGTATGAATGTGTTGCCAACACCGTGTGTATGAATGTGTTGCCAACACCGTGTGTATGAATGTGTTGCCAACACCGTGTGTATGAATGTGTTGCCAACACCGCGTGTATGAATGTGTTGCCAACACCACGTGTATGAATGTGTTGCCAACACCGTGTGTATGAATATGTCGCCAACACCGCGTGTATGAATGTGTCGCCAACACCGCGTGTATGAATGTGTTGCCAACACCACGTGTATGAATGTGTTGCCAACACTGTGTGTATGAATGTGTCGCCAACACCGTGTGTATGACTGTGTTGCCAACACCGTGTGTATGAATGTGTTGCCAACACTGTGTGTATGAATGTGTTGCCAACACTGTGTGTATGAATGTGTTGCCAACACCGCATGTATGAATGTGTTGCCAACACCGCGTGTATGAATGTGTTGCCAACACCGCGTGTATGAATGTGTCGCCAACACTGTGTGTATGAATGTGTTACCAACACCGTGTGTATGAATGTGTTGCCAACACCGTGTGTATGAATGTGTTGCCAACACCGTGTGTATGAATGTGTTGCCAACACCGTGTGTATGAATGTGTTGCCAACACCGTGTGTATGAATGTGTTGCCAACACCGTGTGTATGAATGTGTTGCCAACACCACGTGTATGAATGTGTTGCCAACACCGTGTGTACGAAGGTCATGTGATTACTTCTACGTACACCTGTGTTCTGCTCTATGAACTCGACAGTCTTGTTCTTGAGGTCGTCCTGACCGTAGGTGACCGCAGCCTGCAACACGTCACACGCATTGCCCACGGTCAGGTTTTCTATCAAATACTGGGAGCACAGCTGAAACACAAACACAGACAAATATATATGCCAGCATTGAAGACATGCCATTGTAGACATACTATTAAATATATATCATTGTAGATATGTCATTAAGTATATATCATTGTAGATATAGCACTGAACAAGACTGAAGATATGCAATTTCAGCTTTATATAAACATTTATGAACATCTTCAAATCAGAAAAACGTACAACTTTTTGGATAACAACTTCTGGTTCATTGCATATAGCAACGCTTTGATGAAGATTCTTACACCGTTATCGAGCTGGAGTGACAACAACCAAGTGATGAGAGGTAAATATGCATGACATGTTGTGAAAAGCAGCAGATTAACATTGAGAACAACGGTAACAGATAACACAGATAACAAGTTGCATACAGATGCACTGTAAGAGTAACAACTAGCACTCAGGTGATGAAGCACACAGGTAATGAGTGAGTGAGTATGGTTTTACGCCGCTTGTAGCAATATTCCAGCAATATCACGGCGGGGGACACCAGAAATGGGCTTCATACATCGTACCCATGTCGGGAATCGAACCTGGGTCTTCGGCGTGACGAGCTAATGCTTTAACCACTAGGCTAATGCTTTAACCACTAGGCTACCCGACCGCCCCTCACACAGGTAATGAAGCACACGGGTAATGAAGCACACAGGTAATGAAGCACACAGGTAATGAAGCACACTGATCTTTCAGTCAGTAGGTAGCACCACTTTTAGCAATACTCCAGCCACATCACCTTGGAGGAACCAACAAGGTCCTTCAAACACTGGGGAATCAAACGCAGGTCACTGGTGTGATCCAAAACTTGAACCACTCGGCCACCCCTCTTATGGAAGGTCTTATGGAAGGTCTTATGGAAGGTCTTATGGAAGGTCAGAAACTAAACCTGCCTTCGGTTACACACAGAAAAAGAAAGTGTTACTACCAAACTAATGTTACCTTCTTGAGATCATCAAGGCCATATTCCAGAGCTGTGGCCAGGACATCTATTGCCTGAAGAAAATAACCTTGATTAGAGACTGGTACAGCAGATTACTCTGACATGGCGTCACAGACGTTTGTCCTACCTGCAAACTCAGGACTGTGACAGATGCTTAGGGACGAGGATGAGGATGAGGACTGAATTCCGAAGTAGAATCTTGAAATATACTACTCAAAAGAAGTTAAAGAACACCTGATTTTTCCATATGGCTATAATTAATCTGTCATGGCCATTGGGTGTTCTTTAACTTCTTTTGAGTAAGTAAGGATAAGAATTTATGGATGAACAACTTCTTTATTACAATTTAGAGCGACGTTTCGGTGTAGGTTCTAACACCGTTATCAAGCAAGTGATTTACAGAGTGTGGTTGGCAAGTACTTAGTACTCCAACTTCTTCCTTACTTAGTACTCCAACTTCTAAATGCCTATCAAAGAAGTTCTTTTGAGTAGTATATATTTCCATGACAGTTTTTGTGGTTAGCAATGTATGTGTTAGTTTGAGGTACCATGATGTTTTGAATTACTAACATAATACAAACTAGTATGAAAGCACTACATGTTACAATCCCAGCTGGACATCAGATGTACTTAAGACAGAGTGTTTGAGCTGGACATCAGATGTACTTAGGACAGAGTGTTTGAGCTGGACATCAGACGTACCGTATTTTCTTGAGTATAGTGCGCACTTTTTTTCCAAAAAACACAGCTGTGTGGAAGGGGGTGCGCATTATACACGAATTATGAGTTTGGATGTTTTTTTCCCCCATGGAAAGACATTACCGTGAGCACGAAACACCGGGAATACCATGTCAACAAATCCATACTGAAGTACGCAAAATAATCATGTAATTACACTGTCTGGCTATAAAAAGTGTTCTTTGTATATCTGGACTTATGTTTGTAACTTATTTCATTGATTTTATTCAAAATTCCTTATAATATTGTTTTTATTAATTTCGGCGAAATCGTGTGTGAAGCGATCGGAAGATCGCACAACTCACCGTTATTAACAGCAACCACGGTCAGAATACCGCTATTGACGCCTTGAAACAAACTTTAGTTGACAGAGAATCGATACATATATCATAAATGACATACTTTGACTCGTTAAAAGTCATATTTGTTTTTGTTTGACGATTCTATGTCAACATGAAATTCATGCGATCACGTGATCACGTGCGCGTGAGCCTTGACGGTGACTGGTCAGACATGTTCCATGTAAAAAATAATACCCGGGAATAGCGATCAGCTGCTTCGCTTAGGGTTATTATTATTTTAAATATGTTTAGTAAAGGTTGCATATAATTAAGAAAATAATGGAATATATTATTCCTGATAAATAAAATAGTTTCAGATACAATTGTCGCCGATCCTTGCATTAAAAATCTTATAAAGTTATATCATTGGGTGTGTCTTAACCGAATCACCGGTCGATTCCAAGAAAACGTGTGTACAGCTGATTGCTGTTTCCAGCTTAGTTTACGAGAAAATACGCAAAGTAATCTTAATCCCTAAATATAAAACAATGCCTAGCAGAACAATAAATACTATTTAAACGGTAAATAAACATGTCTGGTGATTTTTTATCTCAAATTTCGAATTTGTACTGACGAAGTTTCTCAGCTCCCGTTCGTTTGCCGGACTTCGCTCAAAGGGTACGGTGTAAAAATTTTCTGCGCATAATATTCAAATTTCTTTTTTTCCAAAATATTGAACCCGTTAGAGGGGGGTGCGCATTATACATGGGTGCGCACTATACTCAAGAAAATACGGTACTTAGGACAGAGTGTTTGAGCTGGACATCAGATGTACCTAGGACAGAGTGTTTGAGCTGGACATCAGATGTACCTAGGACAGAATGTTTGAGCTGGACATCAGATGTACTTAGGACAGAGTGTTTGGTGACTCACATTTTTGGATGATAGGTGGACACAGTTGGTGTAAACGAATTCCAGCAATGTCAGGAATATCTCTGGAGACATGTCTGACAGCACAAACGGAACATCTTTGTCAGCACCAGAGTTCTTTGTATTTTGATTCTGTTCAGCAAACATGGCCTTGAACACAGCACAGCGGGAGGACAAAATACATCGATGTGCATACACTGTCTTTCTGTTCGGACCCAGTAAAAACTTTAAATCACTGCAATAGAAAAGACAAGACAATTCTCATTTGTCAGAGGACAGTTGTTTTCTGACGGCAATATTCCGCCCATTGCACAGTAAGTACACAAAAACGGTCTAGTTCTCATCACCAAAACACGGACATCTTTAAAATATATTGAGATATTTTCAGTGTGATGTCTTTAGAAATGCTAGCTATATATATGCTTAGGATATAGATTAGGCAAAGATGACAATCATGTTCTTACAGCTGGGATGGGTAACTCGGGTCGGGTGGGTACTGAGTAGCATCTGGGTACCCACAGGACTACCCGGACCTGTGGTTAGTCACGGGATTTATTACTTGCCCGTGAAGAGATCACTCGTTTAATAAACATACAGCTGTATTACACAATAATACTGAAATGTGTGCTTATGTACTCTCGGAACAAAGCTCTTAACATCCCTTAGCTTATTCAACGACATTGCGGTAGATCACTGAGAGGAGCTTATGCACACTCGATGACCCCAGCAACCTTGTTGCTAGGCTGACGTCACATGGCATTGTTTCGCCGATGGATCTTGCAACAAAATTCCACAAATTACGTCATCGGGTATTGTGACGTGATTGTACACTTTGTGGTGCAACGCCCAGTTCCACAAGGCGATCGTACTGCAGAGCAACGACAGTCGTAAGTCTATGTTAAAGTATATGAGTTGCGATAACCTGAGCGCTACGATAATTTTGTGGAAAGGACGCCTGAATTCTAAAGGTGGACCGTTGTATGGTATTAACTTCATACGTTTCAACTGTTGACATGTTTGAAGTATTATTCTGTTAAACTTAATTGGATTATGCCGTGGATCGTGTAGGTGTCAGCCTATTCACACTCAACAGTATAATTCCAAAAACGTTATAAGTTGCAAGTAATAAATAAAATGCTAAACTCACACCTGTGTAAAACCAATTTTATAAAACTTGTGAATAGTTGTGGTATCTGACTCACTTTCGCTCGTCAGATACCAGAACTATTCACTCATTTCATAAAATTGGTATTGCACAGGAGCTCGTTTAGTATTCTATATATAATATTTAATGACAAAAATCCACTGTACCTCCACGGTCACCCTAAAGGTCACATTTCTTCCTGACTATCCACGCAGCCAGGGTAGTAAATTCAGACTTGCCCCAGCCCATTTACTGCTAGTCCCAGGACATAAATAGTTACAGGCCTGCTGGACCCATGGATACCCATATAGAGATATCTTGACACCAGGGGTTTGTGGTGTGTGAAGGGGAGTGCCCCCACCCCCACCCCCGTGCCTTTTTAGTGTAATGTACAGTATACAGTAATGTATTGATATCCTAAGTGATATTCATATCTGTCATTCTATAGAGTAACAAACTGTACAAGCAATAAACTTATGAGTTTTCAATATTGCTTTCATGCTTGCAATATATGAATCTGTGATATGTTTAATTTATATGAAGACAATATTCAAAATACTATATAAGGGAAGTTATAGAAGGCAGAGAGAAAAAAAATAATCCGAAAACCTGCAGTTGCCTCGAAATCAACAAGCAGACGCACTAAGCGTCTACGGTCCAGTATTTATAATTCATTACTCAAAATATCCATTAATCAATGTATGGGTCATTAAATCAATACAGGGCCACTCTAGAATAGAGTATAACATTATGGTAGTTGCATGATTAAGCTGTAAGAATACACGGCATAACGTTATGTACATGTATGACGTTGCAGCTATTTGGTAAACATCGTGTTGACAGGCTCACCTGTGTTCTTTAGAGTTGATCAACTTTTTCATCTGCACCGCAAACTCTGTAACATCTCCTTTCATACATCTCTCGCTGGATGCCATTGTTCCTCGACTCAAACTATGTTTTTAAATGACCTGTTGTCGGTTCAAAATCAGCGGACTAGCTTAGTTTATGTTGTTGTCAAGCACGCACCTGCTACTTATTAGTACTTTTCACCAGACGATAATAAGATAAGATACTAACCGTCAAACGAACACAAAGACGGTCAGTCGAATTATGAATTTTCACTATAACCTTACGTTTTCAGCATGGTTATGCCTTGTGATGAAAAACAAATGAGCTGCATTGGTCCCAGACAATTTGGAGAAAATGGCCGCATTTATAGTGAAAATGGACACTATTTTGAAGAAAATTGCCCCATGTTTGAGAGAATATGATGCCGAAAATGGCCCCCTCATTAGTATTAGTATTAGTATTAGTAGTAGTAGTAGTAGTAGTAGTAGTAGTAGTAGTAGTAGAACCCAGAGAGGTCGGAGGCAATGACACATGCTGGAGAAGTGAGGATTAGTGATGGCATCAAATTGCATCGAGCCTGACCACAGCTAAAATCAAACTGACTGTTTATTACAACACGTGTCAGAAGACAGAGACATCAGCCTGCTTGATCCCGTGTCTCGTGTCAGGAAGATTCGCAGAGTATGCGGAGACCCGGAGTTACCGTCACTCAGTACACGGAGTTCACACAGCGGGAAGGGGGCTTTGCATACTACTGACTGGGTGCAGTGCCATCCATGGACCACGATGTTAGGAAGAGTTGGAGATGGACTAGGAAACCACGTGACATTGTGACATTCCAGAATATCCTATCAATAAGTAAACTAAATGTCTAAACAATAAATAAGCTAAGGGACTGACCATTAGATATTCTGGTTGGGGGTGGAGTGGTGGGGTGGAGGGGGCCTTGGGGGCTGCTGGGCTGGGGATTGGGGGCTGGGCGTTTGGGGCTAATCGAAAAACATAAATTGTCCACAAAAATACTCGAAATAATAATTATGCCCCAGGCTGTCGAATAAAATGCTGGTATCTTGTGTCGAGATTAGATATCTTACAGCTACAAAACCAGATTGTATTTATTGAAAACTAGGAGCCCGAAAAACCCTTTGTAACAATGTAATTATTGTGGCAGGCAATTTTTTTCTCAACAATGTGAAGCATAAGTATTTTATTCGAGCACCTTTGGGGACAATTTACTTTTTTTCGATATTGATTTTAGTGGAATATTATGACTTGCATGATGATACTATTGACTTATCATGTTCTTAATGTTTACTTGCCTGCTGTCACTGCTGGGTAGAAGCTGTTTTGCTTTATATTATATTTTTTTTTCGGGTGAAGGAGAAACCCAGACAATTTGGGGGAAATGCCCCAAGTTTCACTGAAAATGGTCCTAAATATTTGGGTAAATGGATTCACATTTTGGAGAAAATGAACCCAAATATTGGGTAAACAATTCCAACGCAAATCTACAAATCTGTAGTGATTTAGGGAATAAAATCTTTTTGAGCAGCTGAACTTGCTACTTTATTGATACTCATATTGCGTTTTATATATAAAAAGTATGATTAATGTTGTTTTATTAGTCAACTGACTCAAGCTTTTATATAGCTATTCATCCTTAAAATTATCACTGTGTGTATACCTTTTTAATATAAAATCGTTAAACTGTCGGACACTGTCTTGGGCGAAGACAATGTAATATTTTACGAATGCTTCTATAAATAAATGCCTATGTTGTTCGAATAACGTTTGTGATAGATATAGATGTATTTCAAAACAAAAGTACAATTGAAGGGCAGCTAACTCTAATTTATTGTGAAAGATTGTAAACAGTATGATAATAGCTAAACGTTGTTGACAATCTCAATGTGTTCATCGTTCGCATAGTGTTTTTACCTTTTCATTACAGAAAACACCCGGCCACACGCGAATTTCCTGTGAATAGTAAATAAGGAAGGATTAGCAAAATATGCGACAACTGTCATAGCGCTATGAAACCCAGCGAAAGTTACAGTTAGACTTATATGAATTCATGATTTATGAATAAACGGGATTATTTTACCAATATTGGAATTTTCATATGGTGGAATGTCAGGTTTTCGATTGATTAACTTAACAAGATATGGAGGCAGTTTCTGGTGTCATGCCCTTTTAGTGTGCACAACAGAGATAAAGTGAGCTAGGTAGTATAAGAAATGTCTGAACGTGCAGAAAACGATAGTGGTCATGAGCTTGACCTGCCCTTGTCAGCCAACATACATGATGTCAGGGTGTCACACTTTCTCCTCCATCTCAAGTGTGATCTTGAATCTAAAAGGTTGACAGGTGACATCACTCTATTTTATCAGCATAAGAACAGTAAACTAGACTGTGAGACTGTATCACAAACTGATGCCACACTGAACCCTGTGCAAACAAACTGTAAAAGCCATTCCAAAGTCCATCAAGCAAACACTGATCCAAGTACAGCCACTGTACACGATCCGGCACTGAATGATTTGTGTGAGCATGAACGTAGAGAGAGTGAAGATTTCTCAAAGACAGGGAACATGAATATATATAGTGATGATTCTGTCATTGTTCCAGCTACATCAAGCATACAAAGTGGAAATGCATTAGCTCGATGCTCCGATCAAGAGGCTCTTCAATCTTTTTCTATTCCAGATAAAACAGAAACTCAAAATTCACTACATATTTCCAATCCTTGCCAGGATGCAGTCAGGATGGTATTAGATGCTTATGACCTTGATGTGAGCTGTGCTGAGGAGCTGATACTGTCACCTGATCTGGAAAGAAAGCTGTCCTTTGCCAAACGAGGAGATGTAGAAAGTGCATCCGGTGTTTATATGCAGTGTTACATGCACTGTCAAACCAACCCCCTCCAGGTCTGTGTCAGTAAACACAGCATCAGACTCGGGGGAGGAGGCGGGAAGGGTGAGGATGGTCTTCTTCAGTCTCCGACTGGGTCTGGTGAGAGCAGGCTCCACCAGGTTCATGGTGAGGTTGATGAAGGTGATGATGACAAAAGTGAATCGCAGACTATAGCCGGAGATGCTTACATGAAGTGGGGGTCACTAGATTCTGGTGGAGAGGGTGTGGCCCGTGGGGGTGGGAGTTGTAGAAAGACTTGCAGTGAATACAGAGATAAACAGGATGCTGCACGTCACACGTGTGTCCAGGGTGAAGGTCAGATACACAGAGACACACAACGTAGAAGGGAAGGTGTGACGAGAGCTGTGAGGATACACTACAGGACAGCGGGAGGGCCGTCACTCAAGTGGACTCTGGATCAAGATGGAAAGTAGGCAGTGCAGTCTTGGTAACTGGGTGTCAGTAGGCTTGCCTTTAGCCATGGGTGTTTTGTAAAATGTTTGCATATATTAACAACATTATGTTATTCTTTTATCCTTCAATGGGTACAATGTGTGAAGCCCATTTCCGGTGTCCTCCGCCGTGATATTGCTCGAATATTGCTAAAAGCGGCGTAAAACCATCTTCACTCACTCACTCAATTTATCCTTCAACTTGCTGCTTTGTGTTCAAGGCTGTCTTTGAATTGTCATGACTCAAATAAAATTGTTCACATATGGTCCTAGGGGTGGCTGAAAAGTTCTGATCCTATGACTGTGTTATGGAGTTGGTTGGCACAGTACACCTTTAGTGAGTTTTCCATGATGTTTATCCTTGATATTGGCCATTAATGGTCTGACTTTGGAGAGGTAGTCCACCAGTAGGATGTCCAGATTACCAAAGCCAATACATCCTTCGAAGTTAGGCCCAGAGTGTTACAGTCACTACAGAACCATGACAACTTCTGTAAACACATCAACTGTTTTATTTTATTGACAAGATATTTGGTTAAGAAACACATGATGTGTTTGACGCAAACTTTCTTTCCTTTCTCTTTCACACATTTTCAATGATATTCAGACACTAATGTTTATCAACATTGATCAGGGGAGCCCCAAAACAAACAATCTGAATCTGTTATAAAGAAACCCATTTCTCAACTCTTCTTTTTTGGTGTCGAGTAAATATCTGATCCAAATGATAGAAAATGATTCCTTAAACTATATTTCTCAATCTTTTTTATGTCTTTAATATGATCAAGTTTGAACATATGCATCTTACACGCAGTCAAAATAGATTTCTGTGGGTCCTGTTTAACATAGCAAGCTGAAGTACAGTTACATGTCATTACTGTTTCCAGGGAGTGTGTGTTCACTGTTGGTCACTGGCTCAACAACCGCTCCTGGTTCCCCAGTCAGGATGCTCCGGACGCCATGTCTACCTGGCAGACTTGGGTCACAGTTCAGGAGGGGCTGACGGTGCTGATGACTGGAGACAAGTCCTGTACACCGTCAATGTCCCAGGGTAAGTCCTGTACCCTGTCAGTGTCCCAGGGTGAGTCCTTTACCCCTCAGTGTCCCAGGGCGAGTCCTGTACCCCATCAGTGTCCCAGGGTGTCCTGTATCCCGTCAGTGTCCCAGGGTGTCCTGTACACCATCAGTGTCCCAGGGTGAGTCCTGTACCCCATCAGTGTCCCAGGGTGTCCTGTATCCCGTCAGTGTCCCAGGGTGTCCTGTACACCATCAGTGTCCCAGGGTGAGTCGTGTACCCCTCAGTGTCCCAAGGTGAGTCCTGTACCCCTCAGTGTCCCAGGGTGTCCTGTATCCCGTCAGTGTCCCAGGGTGTCCTGTACACCATCAGTGTCCCAGGGTGAGTCCTGTACCCCGTCAGTGTCCCAGGGCGAGTCCTGTACCCCGTCAGTGTCCCAGGGGTGAGTCCTGTTCCCCTCAGTGTCCCAGGGTGTCCTGTACACCATCAGTGTCCCAGGGCGAGTCCTGTACCCTGTCAGTGTCCCAGGGTGAGTACTGTACACATCAGTCACATGGTGAGTTCAATATACTATCAGTGTGGTGAATTCCCAGTTGTAAACATGCTTATTACTTGCCATTTGTGGGCTACTGTCATGTATTTTGTCACCATGTTGACACTCGTTACAAAGCAACAATTTCTCATTCTCTTATGTTACATTGTGATGCATGGTAACATTCCACCTCAGCATGCTTTCTGCACACATTTTCCAAGAATACATTTGTGTATTGGCAACTGGGACTACTTTCTGGAACGTAGAGTTGAATGTGACCAGTATATGATGAACTGTCAAATTTGTTGAATATCACATGTCAATATGCCAAAGAGAGTAAAGATGAGATCATTGATGTGGTTGTCATGGTGATGTTTTAGGATGGAAGACCTACTATTACTACAGTACAATGCCAATGCCCACCTCCACACTAGCTATAGCAGTCGGGACGTGGACACAGGTGGATGTCGTGCTGGAGCCAGATACTCCCAAGTCAAGGTACTGACACTCTAACCTGGCAGGAGAGTTCGCTCTTGTCTTCTTGTCTTCCCTGGCAGGAGAGTTCGCTCTTGTCTTCTTGTCTTCCCTGGCAGGAGAGTTCGCTCTTGTCTTCTTGTCTTCCCTGCCCTGAGAGCCTCCTGTCATCTTCTGTCTTCCCTGCCCTGAGAGCCTCCTGTCATCTTCTGTCTTCCCTGCCCTGAGAGCCTCCTGTCATCTTCTGTCTTCCCTGCCCTGAGAGCCTCCTGTTGTCTTCATGGTCTTCTATGGCCGTGGTGTTTAATATTTGTTTGAATTCATCATATTCTACATTTGTAATTTTCTGATTATTATAATGTAATTATACCCCCGTTTACGAAGTAAATCGGGGGTATATAGCGTTCCGTTCGTTCGTCCGTCCGTCCGTCCTTCCGTCCGAGCTTTTGTACGGCCCATAACTTTTTAACCATGCACCCTAGCTTCACCAAACTTGCTACACACATTTACCACAATGAGTACTTGTGCCTTTTGCTAGTTTGAAGATTCTGAACTTTTTAATTTTTGCCGTTTCCATGGAAAGATTAAGAAACTTAAACTTTTAGGGTGGGTGTTTTGTACGGCCTATATCTTTTTAACTATGCACCCTAACTTCACCAAACTTGCTACACAAATTTACCACAATGAGTACTTGTGCCTTTTGCTTGTTTGAAGATTCTGAACTTTTTAATTTTTGCCGTTTCCATGGAAACATCAGAAACTTAAACTTTTAGGGTTGGTGTTTTGTATGGCCTATATCTTTTTAACTATGATCTTTTTAACTATGCACCCTATCTTCACCAAACTTTCTACACACATTAACCACAATGAGTACTTGTGCCTTTTGCTAGTTTGAAGATTCTGAATTTTTTAATTTTTTGCCGTTTTCCATGGAAACATTACAAACTTAAACTTTTAGGGTGGGTGTTTTGTACGGCCTATATCTTTTTAACTATGCACCCTAGCTTCACCAAACTTTCTACACACATTAACCACAATGAGTACTTGTGCCTTTTGCTAGTTTGAAGATCCTGAATTTTTTAATTTTTGCCGTTTCCATGGAATCATGGTGAAACATAAATTTTGGGTAGAGTTTTTGTACGATCCATGTTTACAATATTATTTATCCTAGCTTCAGCAAACTTGCTACATTAACCGCTATGATTGTTTTTTATCTTTTATAAGATTCTGAAAGTTTTGTCTTTTGCTGTTTTCATGGAAACATGATGGAATTTAGAAATTTTGATGACTGGTTTTGTATAGCTAATATATTTTCAAAAATTATTTCCACACATGTAGATCATCATAAGTATCTGTGCTTTGTGATAGTTTGAATTTATGAATTCTTTACCATATCTGTTAAGGCTAGATGGAAATTATTAATTTATTGATTTTCTTATATGATATTGTTCCATTTTTTATGTGTTTTTATATCAACAATTTTTGGTCCTTTTGATAATTCTTCTTATGTAACTCCTCAATCAAATTTTTATTCAAAGGTGTTCATGGTGATCTGCTTCCTCATAGTGAACACTGGTAACATGGGAGATTTGGGGGTGGGGGGGCAATTGTCACTGGAACTCAATCTTAGTTTGTAAATCATTGAAGTAAAAATCAGTTAGAAATATGTAATATTTCATTAATTAACAAACTATTTACTATTTGTTGTTGGCCAGCGGGGATAACGGGGGTATGTGAGCTTTGCTCACTTCTTTCTTGTTCAAATTTCTTGTCCTGTTTATCTGTCACAAACAATGAAGTTTTAACCAGCACAGGATTTTCATTGTTTTGGAAAAGAAAACAACTGCCAACAGTTTGGTATTTGAATGTTATAATTTACTTGTTTCAGATGATTGTAAAACCATCAAGGAAAAAATGTTGACAAAAAAATGTCCAATTTAGCCCCTTGTTGTATGAGAAACAACACCTGTGTAGACCTATTGGACCAACTATCATTGTTGCAGTCATCATATAAATTTCTGTGAAGAAATAATTAGAAAGCATCCATTTACATCACAAAAATTTACATAAAATTTTATACTTCTAGCAATGTGTTCTGCTCTTCTCCAGCCAGCTACCATGTTCCAGTCATGGCTCATCATGTATCGTGAACTACGCCACGGGGCCGGCTGTGCCGTGCCGTGTGTTTGTCTCCGAGTGCCTGGCCCCCCTTGTTCAGCGGGAGCTGGCGGTGTACCTCCCCCGGTGCCTGGGAGAAGTGTACTCCATTCTCGGCCCCCACCCCTTCCAGAGGCTCGACATCCTCATTGTCCCCTATTGTTTCGACAGTCTTGGCATGGCGAGGTAGGTTTCATCTTACATCTGATAGTAGGTAGAATTAGTCTTCAACAACCAATGCTCTCTCTCTCATATGAAGCGTTCTTGGAAACCACATTGCCTAGGCAGCTGAACATGTGGTACGATGTGTTTCGGTGCAATAGGACTCAGGCATGTTTATTCCAGTAATTTAAAAAAAGTTTTTTCAAGAAATAGTATTTATTTGAATCTTGAAAATCTTTAAGAATCTGTTTCTCAGAAACCACAAGATTGAGGAAGTCAAAACTTCTTTTGAAACTTTTGAAAGTTACGTTTTATATAAAATTGGAAAGAAAAAATAAAATAAAAAGTTAATCACAGTTATTGATGTGAAACATTAAGTTGTATCGGCCATATTGGTTATAAGAAGTTCTTTTTTTTTCACTCTTCACGTCTACTTCACTCATGGCCATGGACGTAAATAGGGAACATCTCTGTACTTGCTCCACCACATATTGTGGTACTTTTTATGAATGCTGCTACTGTAAGAATGTTTTTGAAGAGAACATCAAACAGACAACATTACACAGCTAATTAAAAAATAAATCCTTTTGACCATTATAACCTCCACCCTCTCTTTCACTGATGGCTGGGGATTTCTCTGCATGTAACATAGAGCTGCTTGGAAGTAGGCCTTGTAGGCCTGTAACATAGAGCTTATTGGAAGTAGGCCTGGTAGGCCTGTAACATAGAGCTGCTTGGAAGTAGGCCTGTAACATAGAGCTGATTGGAAGTAGGCCTGGTAGGCCTGTAACATAGAGCTGATTGGAACTAGGCCTGTAACATAGAGCTGATTGGAAGTAGGCCTGGTAGGCCTGTAACATAGAGCTGCTTGGAAGAAGGCCTGGTAGGCCTGTAACATAGAGCTGCTTGGAAGTAGGCCTGTAACATAGAGCTGATTCAAAGTAAGCCTGGTAAGCCTGTAACATAGAGCTGCTTGGAAGAAGGCCTGGTAGGCCTGTAACATAGAGCTGCTTGGAAGTAGGCCTGGTAGGCCTGTAACATAGAGCTGCTTGGAAGAAGGCCTGGTAGGCCTGTAACATAGAGCTGATTGGAAGTAGGCCTGTAACATAGAGCTGCTTGGAAGAAGGCCTGGTAGGCCTGTAACATAGAGCTGCTTGGAAGAAGGCCTGGTAGGCCTGTAACATAGAGCTGATTGGAAGTAGGCCTGTAACATAGAGCTGCTTGGAAGAAGGCCTGGTAGGCCTGTAACGTAGAGCTGCTTGGAAGAAGGCCTGGTAGGCCTGTAACATAGAGCTGATTGGAAGTAGGCCTGGTAGGTGACTGTGTCCTGTGCTTCTTAAACCATGTTGTGCCTGTTTGGGATATTTACTTTCATTATCAATATGCAGATGAATCCATAGAGAATCATGTGATAAGAGGGACGACTAACGGGATCGGGTGGCCAGGCTTACTGATGTGGTTGATGCATGTCATTGTATCCCAGTTGCGTGGATCGATGCTCATGATGTCAATCACTTGATTGACTTGTGCAGACTTCATTATTTACTAACTGCTGTCATGTAGCTGGAATATTGTTGAGTGCCATGCATTGTGATGCAATGACATTGTGGGGATATCTCCAAGGAGATATCACTTGATCTCACACAAGCAATTTCTCCTGTAGATTTCTCATTTGGGATGATAAATTTGATTACAATCTTTCTAACATCTCTTCAAAATTATAGTCTTGATTCAAAATAAGTGCCATGCTTCTGATTTTTTTGTTTTAAAGAGTTTGGAGTTGTTTTTATAATCTAACTAATACGTAACTTTCTATGTGATTTATTATTCCCCACTGCGAAGTGGAAGGGGGATATGGGAATGGGTGCTGTCCGTCTGTCCATCCTTTTGTCCCTCCATCACGTTTCATTTCTGGAGCAGAACTAAAAAAACATGGGAGATATCTCATCAAACTTGGCACATAGATAGGTCTAGTGGTGAACTGGTGCCTTTTGAAAGTTTGGGATTTTCAAAAAAAATATTTTTCAAGTTTCCATGGCAATGACTTTGACTAAGACTGAAATTAGTGGTATTGGCTGAGGATATGAGTATTTCATGCTTGTCAATGTTGGTTTCCAGTCCCAGCCTGTTGGCGCTGTCCCAGTCCGCACTGGTGGGAGACAACTCCATGTGTGTCCGAGTGGCCCACGAGATCTGCCACTCCTGGTTCGGCCTACTGATTGGTCCACAAGACTGGACGGAGGAGTGGCTGACAGAGGGCTTCTGTACATACCTGGAGGACATCGTCCATGCCAGGGTCTGCCAGGTACCCGACTCTTTGTCAGATACCCTATTTGTCAGAGACCTTATTTCTCAGATACCCCATTGGTCAGATACCCTATTTTTTAGACACCCCATTTGTCAGATACCCCATTTGTCTCGTTTGAAGGTAGAAGGTAAGGGTAAAATAATTGATCTATTTGGATACAATAGGTTTATATATTGTTTATTTATGAAAAATGTGATGAAAACAAGAAATCAACATCAAATTTCATTACCACAAAAATCTTAATTAAGATTTAATCTCAGAATTAGTTGTACTGTGTCAGTCTGGTTGTTTAAAGTTTGTTGATATAGAGATTGATTATATACTCCATACCAAAGGGTACACCAAAGTGAAATAATGTATATATTTCTAAAGTGTTTTGTCTTATATGAAGTAAAAGCGTGTTTAAAGTAAAATGAACATTGAACAAGCAACATCCAAAGTAAGAAGCAGAATCAACAAGCAGAAAATGTGTTTTTATGATTTGATATATCCTACTGATAGTGTCGAAACATACTGAACTGCAAAAGAAACATCACCATGGGTAGATATATGAGAAACCTTATTTGTCCAAACACTGAAAACATACTTTGAGACATAGTAAAAAGATGAAACTTGGCTAAACTGATCATCAAGGTTGAAATTAAAGTGTCAAATGTTCGTAAAATGAAACACAACACTAGTCTCTGAGAAAATGGCATCACAAGTCAGTATCTCGTGTGTCCGCCATGTGCATTGATGACTGCCATGCAACATGGAATGGATGAGGCGGTTGATGAAGGCCATAGGCACTTGAGCCCACACTCTGAGGAACGCCTGACACAGTACAGCTGCAGTTGTCGGCCTTGGGCGGACGTCATTCAGCCGTCTTTGAATCTCGTCCCACAGGTGCTCAATGGGATTTAAATCGGGACTGAGGGCAGGCCACTGCATGGTTCTAATGCCATTCTGCTGGAGGAAGTCTCTTCTTGCTCTCGCAGTGTGGACACGGGCGTTATCATGCTGAAACTCGTGGTTGCGGCGACATGCCAAATGAGGTATGGCGTGTGGTCTCAAGACTTGATCAATGTACCGAGCTGCTGTGACACCATTGCCTCTCCCTGGACCGATGTTCTGGAAGACAACAGGGCCGACCCATTGTGCAAGACCAATTCCACCCAACACCATGATACTCGGACCACCCCACCAGTCTCCCTCAACAACACAAGCATCCGAATTTCCCCATGGCGTCGCAGACTCTCTCTCTCTCTGCCATCTGCTGTTGAGATACAGTAACGGCTCTCGTCTGAGAAGTGGACTCTTCTCCACTGCTGGTGGCGCCAATGCAGGTGCTGTGTTGCCCACTGAAGACGGTCCCTGCGATGACGTGGTGTCAGAATGGATCCTCCGTGTGGCCTGTGACAGTGGAGGTGTCTGCTCATCAATTGTAGATGCACGGTGTCCACATTCATGTGTCACTGGTGTGTCCCCATGGTCTGTCGAGCAGTTTCCGCAGCAGTAACAAAGCAATCTTGAAGATGCTGTCGCACAATCTGACGATCCTGATGTTGGGTGGTGACCCTTGGTCTTCCACTACGTGGTCGGTCATCTGTAGTGTTGGTGGTCTGGTACCATTGTTGGAGCGTGTATATGGGCCTTACGTTGGCTTGAAATACATTGGCTACTTGCAGGGCGGTTTGTCCAGCTTGCAATCATCCAAGTGCTTCGTGTCGCTGAATTCTTGTCAATCTTGGCATGTGGTAGCAATTCAATAACAAATGAATGTTATCCGATCTGGGTGGATTTTTATAGGGCAAGAAATGGGGAAACGGATGTGCATTTCAATTTGCACGGAACTCACGTGCATCTGGTTACCATGGCTATTGTACGGGTGTTCATACACTTACGGGTCTGGCTATTAACATGATTAGAGTCCTCGAACACAATGAAAATCTTTCCTTTTTATGTTGTAAGTTTTATATTATGCTCATGAAGTGTCTGACAAATGGGGTATGATCGGGACTAGTTCATTTTACCACAAACTTTTTGATCAAATAATGCGGCCTTGTAACAAATGTAATTAGTTCTGATTTAATTCATCTCACTCTGATAGACAGGAATGCCGGTCAGTCATTAGCTCAGCTGATGATGTAGCTGCTGATGTTGGTGTGTCTTCTTCCTACAGTGGGATGAAGGTGAGATGGGGGATCGACTGGAACTACGAGCGTTGCTGAAACAGAAGACCCTGCTGGCAGAGGTCGAGAACACAGAGCAGGACCTCCAGATGCTCCGGTAAGAGTCCCCTCAGATTGGTTGGAGTGAGTGAGAGTGTGTGTGATGGAGGGAGGGAGAGGATACTAAACTTGGTCTTCACACATTGTAACCATGTGGGGAATTGCAGCTTGAGGAGCCACCAGGTACCCAGCATCCCCCCAGTTAATGTGTTCATTTGGCCCTGTCACTCAGCTGCTGCATCTTACTGAGTTATGTGTTTTTTTCGGTGTGCCTGAATTGTAAAATCTTCAGTTCAAATCTCAGATAAAACTGCTGGGTTACTATGTATTAAAGTGATATCTATGTCTAACACCTCTGTAACTGAAATACCACACATCAAGCTGACATGCTGTGATATAACTGGAATACTCCAACATCAAGCTGACACACTGTGATATAACTGAAATACTCCCACACCAAGCTGACATGCTGTGATATACGGTAACTGAAATACTCCCACATCAAGCTGACACACTGTGATATAACTGAAATACTCCTACACCAAGCTGACACACTGTGATATAACTGAAATACTCCCACACCAAGCTGACACACTGTAATATAACTGAAATACTCCTACATCAAGCTGACACACTGTGATATAACTGAAATACTCCCACACCAAGCTGACACACTGTGATATAACTGAAATACTCCCACACCAAGCTGACACACTGTAATATAACTGAAATACTCCCACATCAAGCTGACACACTGTGATATAACTGAAATACTCCCACACCAAGCTGACATGCTGTGATATACGGTAACTGAAATACTCCCACATCAAGCTGACACACTGTGATATAACTGAAATACTCCTACACCAAGCTGACACACTGTGATATAACTGAAATACTCCCACACCAAGCTGACACACTGTGATATAACTGAAATACTCCCACACCAAGCTGACACACTGTAATATAACTGAAATACTCCCACATCAAGCTGACACACTGTGATATAACTGAAATACTCCCACACCAAGCTGACACACTGTGATATAACTGAAATACTCCCACACCAAGCTGACACACTGTAATATAACTGAAATACTCCCACATCAAGCTGACACACTGTGATATAACTGAAATACTCCTACACCAAGCTGACACACTGTAATATAACTGAAATCCTCCCACATCAAGCTGACACACTGTGATATAACTGAAATACTCCCACATCAAGCTGACACACTGTGATATAACTGAAATCCTCCCACATCAAGCTGACACACTGTGATATAACTGAAATCCTCCCACATCAAGCTGACACACTGTGATATAACTGAAATCCTCCCACATCAAGCTGACACACTGTGATATAACTGAAATCCTCCCACATCAAGCTGACACACTGTAATATAACTGAAATCCTCCCACATCAAGCTGACACACTGTGATATAACTGAAATACTCCCACACCAAGCTGACACACTGTGATATAACTGAAATCCTCCCACACCAAGCTGACACTCCCTGATATAACTGAAATACTCCCACACCAAGCTGACACACTGTAATATAACTGAAATACTCCCACACCAAGCTGACACACTGTGATATAACTGAAATACTCCCACACCAAGCTGACACACCGTGATATAACTGAAATACTCCTACACCAAGCTGACACACTGTGATATAACTGAAATACTCCCACATCAAGCTGACACACTGTGATATAACTGAAATACTCCCACACCAAGCTGACACACTGTGATATAACTGAAATACTCCCACACCAAGCTGACACACCGTGATATAACTGAAATACTCCCACACCAAGCTGACACACTGTGATATAACTGAAATACTCCCACACCAAGCTGACACACTGTGATATAACTGAAATACTCCCACACCAAGCTGACACACTGTGATATAACTGAAATACTCCCACATCAAGCTGACACACTGTGATATAACTGAAATACTCCCACACCAAGCTGACACACTGTGATATAACTGAAATACTCCCACATCAAGCTGACACACTGTGATATAACTGAAATACTCCCACACCAAGCTGACACACTGTGATATAACTGAAATACTCCCACATCAAGCTGACACACTGTGATATAACTGAAATACTCCCACACCAAGCTGACACACTGTGATATAACTGAAATACTCCCACACCAAGCTGACACACTGTGATATAACTGAAATACTCCCACACCAAGCTGACACACTGTGATATAACTGAAATACTCCCACACCAAGCTGACACACTGTGATATAACTGAAATACTCCCACATCAAGCTGACACACTGTGATATAACTGAAATACTCCCACATCAAGCTGACACACTGTGATATAACTGAAATACTCCCACACCAAGCTGACACACTGTGATATAACTGAAATACTCCCACATCAAGCTGACACACTGTGATATAACTGAAATACTCCCACATCAAGCTGACACACTGTGATATAACTGAAATACTCCTACATCAAGCTGACACACTGTGATATAACTGAAATACTCCTACACCAAGCTGACACACTGTAATATAACTGAAATACTCCTACATCAAGCTGACACACTGTGATATAACTGAAATACTCCTACATCAAGCTGACACACTGTGATATAACTGAAATACTCCCACACCAAGCTGACACACTGTGATATAACTGAAATACTCCCACATCAAGCTGACACACTGTGATATAACTGAAATACTCCTACATCAAGCTGACACATTGTGATATAACTGAAATACTCCCACACCAAGCTGACACACTATGATATAACTGAAATACTACCACACCAAGCTGAGATGCCGTGATATAACTGAAATACTCCCAAACACGAAGTAGACGACAAAGTAGTAAAATCCTTCAATAATCCATTTGTATTTGTATTCCACATTATTCTGCCTAAGTCCCACTTGGAGTACCTTATGCATAACGCATGCTGTATTATCTTTGCATAAAGATTTGAATCTGAAATAATCTGAAAAAAATCCAGTAATCAATAACTTTTCTGTTCAGCCCATAACTGGCGCTAATCGTGAAGATATAAAAACTGTTGTTTCCAAGGCAAATGCTTTGATAAATTGGTGCAGGCAGCTGCCTTTTTTTTGTTTTTTCGCCAATAGAGCAATGCACAAAAAGAAGAGAAAATTGGTCTGTCTTAAAGCAGAACTGAAGTGCTTTTGTGTGTTTATTTTAGTGCTTGTGACCCGAGAGGGAGTCTTAGTTTTAGAATATGCTCAGACACAACTGTGATAGAATATATTGTATATATCCAGCCTTTTCTGTGATAGAATATGTTGAATATACATAGACTTTTCTGTGATAGAACATATTGTATATATCCAGCCTTTTCTGTGATAGAATATGTTGAATATACATCGACTTTTCTGTGATAGAATATGTTGAATATACATAGACTTTTCTGTGATAGAATATGTTGAATATAATCCCAACTCTTCATGCAGAGAAGTGAGATATTTGAGATCTGATTTTAATGAGATTCATCATTGCATTCATGGCAGACCAAACAAAGGGGAGCAACTCCTCCCAGCCAGTGAGGGGGTTCAGTATGTGAAGGACGGGATGAACCCAGATAAGGCCTTCATGCAGGTGCATTACCTCAAGGTGAGTGGGCATTTTATGATGCTTTAGACAATAAAGTTCAGGATTCAGTATGAAGCTAGTGTTCAGGATTCAGTGAGGAGCTAGTGTTTAGGATTCAGTGTGGAGCGAGTGTTCAGGATTCAGTATGAAGCTAGTGTTCAGGATTCAGTGTGGACCTAGTGTTCAGGATTCGGTATAGAGCTTGTCTTTAAGATTCAGTGTGAACCTAGTGTTCAGGATTCGGTATTTAGCTTGTCTTTAAGATTCAGTGTGGACCTAGTGTTCAGGATTCGGTATAGAGCTTGTCTTTAAGATTCAGTGTGGACCTAGTGTTCAGGATTCGGTATATAGCTTGTCTTTAAGATTCAGTGTGGACCTAGTGTTCAGGATTCGGTATAGAGCTTGTCTTTAAGATTCAGTGTGGACCTAGTGTTCAGGATTCGGTATATAGCTTGTCTTTAAGATTCAGTGTGGACCTAGTGTTCAGGATTCGGTATATAGCTTGTCTTTAGGTTTCAGTGTGGACCTAGTGTTCAGGATTCGGTATAGAGCTTGTCTTTAAGATTCAGTGTGGACCTAGTGTTCAGGATTCAGTATAGAGCTTGTCTTTAAGATTCAGTGTGGACCTAGTGTTCAGGATTCAGTATATAGCTTGTCTTTAAGATTCAGTGTGGACCTAGTGTTCAGGATTCGGTATATAGCTTGTCTTTAAGATTCAGTGTGGACCTAGTGTTCAGGATTCGGTATATAGCTTGTCTTTAAGATTCAGTGTGGACCTAGTGTTCAGGATTCGGTATATAGCTTGTCTTTAAGATTCAGTGTGGACCTAGTGTTCAGGATTCAGTAAGGAGCTTGTCTTTAAGATTCAGTGTGGACCTAGTGTTCAGGATTCAGTATAGAGCTTGTCTTTAAGATTCAGTGTGGACCTAGTGTTTGGGATTCGGTATAGAGTATATGGAGTTAGTGTTTGGGATTTGGTATATAGCTGGTGTTTAGGATTTAGTATGGAGTTAGTGTTTGGGATTCGGTACCGTATATGACCGCGTATAAGCCGAATTTTGAGGACCAGAAAAAAGATTCTGTAGAAAGGGGTCGGCTTATCCACGAGATACACTTTCATGATAGTATTTTTCAGATCGTGATCTGTCAGAAACATCGCCTGAATGACGGTCCGATAGATTACAACTTCCCGAAAGTTTGGAAGTTGCCACAACTAGAGCCATTATTGTTATAAATTATCAATAAAGTTATTATTATACACCAATGTTGTCATTATTAAAAAAATGTTATGCATGTTACTACTTCCGATAATAAGTTTTCAATTGAATGTTCAAAGTTTATCGTTCTTCGTCAACTCCACAATCTTTACATGTAACAATATACGTAATTCACAGCTATAATATATAATCCCCAGATAAAATCGCCAATAGCTATTACGTACATTTTGCAAAGTTCATAAATTGATAGTGAACAAGTGTCTACCTTTATTGAAAGGGGCAAATAAACAACTGTATTGGCGAGTTATTCCGTTCGCCATTTGCAAAAACATGTGATCAGCTGTTTCCTGTGACGTCACAAACGGTGACCACTGTGATTGCTTCCTGTTGTTTAAAGCAACACGGTACACAAGGAAATCAGCATTGATAATAACGGGCCGATTGCTATTGTCATGTTGTTTACACAAACATTTTCAAGTTGTGGGTGCTTAGCGATCGTGTTGGGAGTAGGGGCTTAATTCCTTTGTTTTCGAGAGATTAGTTTAATAAACTGGAAAAGCCTGTGAGTAAGTGATGGTCATTCAATGTGTTCATAGTATGATAGTTTATTTAATTCAATTGGATTAACATACAATAGTGGTGTAAAGGGGGTTATAAAAGTTGGTATATTTTTACTGACTGACATTTTCATCATGAGTTTTAAACGAAAACGCCATGCTTACGATGCTGAATTCAAACTGCGAGTTTTCGCTCCAGCTGATATATTTTCTCACGGGTTCAGAATTCTATATACACCGATTCACAAAATGGCGCTTGGTTGTTGATGGCAACTATAACGATCATTATGAGATTAAAAAAACCCACGAGAAACAGCTTCCCACATTATGAAAGTGGATGACTGGTTTGTTAAATCTTTATTAGAAATAATAATGACTTTTTCAATATAATTACAACGTTTTTCATCTTATATTTTTGAATATCTGCGAGTACCGGCACATGTCTTGCAGTCCGACTTCGCAGTGTTTTTTGTCTTGCAATTCCTGATTCGGCTTATCTGCGGGTCATATCATTTTCTTTCGTATTTCAATGGTCAAATTAACACCTCGGCTTATCTACGGGGTCGGCTTATCCGCGGTCATATACGGTATATAGCTGGTGTTTAGGAATAATGATTGAGTTAAATGTTAAGATTCAGTACAAACTTAGTGTAGCATTTTGAGGAAGAACTGGAGTCGTGTGAGAAAGCACAGGGGTGTATGGACTATTCATTCAATACTTAGAGGCCTATGGTGTATTCACTGCGTCACAGAGTGTGGATGTTGAAGTGATAGTTACATATATACAAATACACAGAAGAACTGCTATGTGTTTAACAACCCTTAGGAAGTGTGTTGAAGTTTCATATCATGGTACCATATTTTCTTGAGTATACTGCGCACCCATGTATAATGCGCACCCCCCTCTAGTGGATTCAGTATTTTGAAAAAAAAATAATCCGAATATCAAACGCAGAAAGAAATTACATGGGTAATTCTACCCCTACAGCGAATTCCGATAAACGAACAGATGATGAGAAACTTCGTCAGTACAAATTCGAAATTTGAGGTTAAAAAATCACCAGACATGTTAATTTACTGTTTAAATTGTATTTTTTGTTCTGCTAGGCATTGTTTTACATCCAGGGATTAGGATTACCTTGTGTATTTTCTCGTAAACTAAGCCGGAAACAGCAATCAGCTGTACACACATTTTCTTGGAATCTACCGGTGATTCAGTCAAGACACACCCAATGATATAACTTTACAGGATTTTAATGATCGGCAAAAATTGTATCTGAATCTATTTTTTTTTATCAGGAATAATATATTCCAATATCTTGTTAATTTAGTTGCAGCTTTTACTGAACATATTTAAAATAATAATAACCCTAAGCGAAGCAGCTGATTGCTATTGCCGGTTATTATTTTTCACATGGAACCAGTCTGACCAGTCACCATCAAGGCTCCCGCGCAAGTGATCGCGAGAACTACGTGTTAACAAAGAATCCTCAAACTACAACAAATATGACTTTTAACGAGTCAAAGTATGGCATTTATGATATATGTATCCATTCTCTGTCAACTAAAGTTTGTTTCAAGGCGTCAATAGCGGTAATCTGAACATGGTTGCTGTTAATAACGGTGAGTTGTGCGATCTTCCGATCGCTTTGCACATGATTTCGCCGAAATTAATTAAAACAATATTAAAAGGAATTTTGAATAAAATTAATGAAATAAGTTACAAACATAAGTCCAGATATACAAAGAAAAAAAGTGCGCACTATACTCAAGAAAATACGGTTAACATACATAGACATAGTATTTCCCGAAGTTGACATCAAAATGGACATTGGGGTGAAGATTGAAATACTTTTTAACATTTACTGATCAATGATGATTGTAGAACGGTCACACAAGTAAGAGGTGAAATTCATCTTAACCTTCATTTAGATGACACAGTTGACAGATTCTACTCTTTTTGGATTCCATTGGCATGATCCGATTATTTTAACTGATTGGAACAGCATCTAAGTGCAATACAGAAACTACCAATTTTTTAACTTATCCTGCATTACTCCGTATTGCATTTACTGCTGCCTTTGACAGAGAGACGAACTGTGTGAGATCCAGCTGCTGAAGAAAGTTGTTTCCATCTGTTCAGGAAGCAGAACCCCCACACAGTCGGCATGCGGCCCGGAAGTCATGACATCACGTCAAAACACATAACTGCTTTGTCAGCCAAACGGAACGGACGTATCTGTACCCCTCGTGGAAATATTAAAAGCTTTATATGATACTTACTTTGTGTTGTTTACTACGACGAAAGTCTGCTGTGTTGTTTATTGTATATGGTTTGTTACCTTTGGTTTCATCCTATTGATAATTGGTAACGTTTCTCGCTAATTTTGTGGCTCTCGTCACAGTATTCTACGAGCGTATTGTTGTTTCCCACCATTTTGTTTTTTCGCACCCTTTTGCGATTCACCACATGTCCACATATTTTTTGTGTTTTGGGTTCTGCATTCGCTCTTTGGTTGGGGTTTTACACTAAATCAAAATGTTTGTATTTGGCATGTTTACAGTGTAATTGTTTGCTCTTCTAAACTTTTTGTGACAGAAAAAGTTATTTTGAGTTACATTATGCTTCATGTTATGTGTTTACACATTGTTATGCTTTTGCTTAAATTCCAGTATGCCTCGCTGCCTTAACTGCCGAAGGAATAAATCTGGACGGGACCCCCACCGCTGCTGCCTGGACTGTACAACCCCATGTACCCTCACAGAGCGGTGCAGATATTGCAGTCCCCTGTCGCCAGCTTCCTTCACCGCCTATCTACGAGTGTCCCGAAAACGCTCAACGTGTGCGTCGACACCCAAACATGCCTTACAACGTAGAGTCTGCCTCCCATGGCATGACAATCGACCGTTCACGGTCTCCTACACCACCCTTACCGTCGCCTGCATCGACCTCATTGTCTTCGGCGTTGCCCGTAACGGGTTCACTATCACCTCCGCCACCTATGTCGACAACCTTGACTACTCTGGCGCCTCCGACCACCCCAGCGCCTCTGGTGCCTCTGACTACCCTGGCACCTTGGATTGTTGCAGCGCCTCTGGCGCCTTGAACTTGTACAGCGCCTCCGGCGCCATGGACTTATGCAGCGCCTCCTACTTATGGACATGTACTCCCGTCCTCGTTTATGGATCCAACTTGGATGCAAGCCTTGATGCTATCCTTGTTTATGCAAGCTACTTTCGCCTCAGC